CTAAGGCCAGGCCATACTTCCCCAAGCCACTCCCAGGCTTCAGGGCCTCCCCCACACCCCCGCAACCCAACTCTTTGGCTCACTTTTCACCTGTCCTTTATATTTGAGGCCAACATCGCACCTCGTCATGCCTCTCCTTATAATGAAGTTCACTGAGCCCGCAGTACACTCTAAGGGCGGTAAATTGGTATTATGGACATGGCCTGTCTCCCCAGAGAGGCCATAAACACCCCATGGCAGGGACATCTCTATCTTCCACAGCAGCACAGTGCAGGACACAAGACAGTAAACGCTGGTTGACGTCCCTGGCATGCAGAGCAATGGCGCGTGCTAAGGTTAACTGCCAAATGTATGCTACACACAGAAAGTCTTGTGGATACTTGGCGAAGGCAGAGAATGAAGAAACTCCAGGGAAAGCGGAAGAAAAACTTTTATAATAACCGACTTACCGGGGACAATGGAGATTTCATTTCAGGGGGAAAATTTTGCTCCTGGGAGCTCTACCCTGAATTACTAAGAGCTCAATTCTCCAGCTCGTCGTCCCTCTTTCCTACCATTTGGGGTCCCGGCTGTGCTGATAAACAGCTCTGCAGAGAATGAGCTTGGGAGGCGGGCGCAGTAGAAACGCATGCTCTCTGTGACTTCTCATATCACCGAGTCGCTGGCCCCCCCAGTCCTATAACGGCAGAAGGATAAAGTCCCATTTTCCTCCCTGTTATTCAATGCTTCCAGCTCAATAGGTATTTCTCTACCCTTACCCACGCCAGCATCATGGAGCTTCCCCACACGTTTTAGAACCTGCTATTTCTGACCTCTGGATGGGGCTCCTTCCCACATGGAGAGGAGCACCTGAAGGCCAGGTGTCTTCTGTCTGTCACCTGCATGTCTGGAGAGCAGCAGGTGAGAAAGAACACACGCTCCAGAGTTGGAGGGTCGGAATCTGTTTTACTGCTGACTATCTACTTGGCACAAGCTACTTAAGCCTTCCCAAGCCTCAGTTTTCCCATCTGGAAAGTGGGGATAATAGGACCTCCTTGCTGTGATTAAATGAAAGCGTGTAAATCACTGAACACAATGACTATTAAATTAAATACGGCTCTTCCTCTTTACAAGCTTCCAAGGGCCCTGTTCCTAGCAAGTTGCATAACAAAAAGGCTACTTGGCTCAAATGTAGTAAAAATAAGACGACAGAACTGTTGGGTTGATAGTTACCTAAATATATAGACAATCTCTCCAAAGACGGAAGGATAGATGGCTGGGCTGTGGGTGAATTTTTCTTCATTCTGTAAGTTATGTTAATGTCATTGCGTTCTTTGCCCTGTATCTTTTTTAAAGATTTTTTTTAAATTTATTTACTTGAGAGAGAGAAAGAGAGCATGAGAGGGGAGAGGGTCAGAGGGAGAAGCAGATTCCCTGCTGAGCAGGGAGCTTGATTCAGGCGATCCTGGGACTCAAGGGTCATGACCTGAGCTGAAGGCAGTCGCTTAGCCAACTGAGCCACCCAGGCGCCCTGTCCTGTAATTTTTTAAAATGAGTGATTTTCCTATCTTACTGTGCAGCCCCACTTCCCTCCCTGGCTGGAAACAAACAAAGTAAACATTGATAAGCCAGTGTCATCTTAGCGCTTGCAGAATCCACGCCAGATTTTTTCAAGAGGGGACCAAAGAATCTGAGTCTTATTAAAAGCAAGTTCCTCCAGGCTTATATGCTCCCCAAAGTTTGAGAGATTCTAGGAGAAACTCTGGATTTGGAATCAGAAGATGCAAGTTCTAGTCTTCACTCTGCTGCTGTCTTTCAGCCAAAGTCCCGTGTCCTCCTGGGTCCCATTTTGCTTTCCCCTTCTGCAAGGAGAAGGGGTCAGTCACATTCCCCACTGGGAACCCATGCCAAGGGAGAAAAGCTGGCCGGAGAGCTTAGATTCCTGAGGATAACTAAATAATCTTGGGGACAAATAAATATTCAGCAAGTGATGAGGCCTCGGCAAAAGTGCAGTGCATGAGTACTTCTGCCAACCCAAATAAAGCCATCGCACAGCCTGCATCTCCTTGGGAGAGCCAGTACTCAGGCCCTGCTTATCCCGCTCTGCTTCACGCCTGGCAACTCTGCAGCCCAGCCCAGCGTCCTGCTCCTGCCAGTCGACCTACAGACCACCCCAAGCTTATGCAGAGAGAAAGGACTGTGGAAGGAAAGAGAGGAACATCAATTTGGCTTAAGCTCTCAGCTTTGGTAAAAGGATGGAGTATCTACAAATAATGCCCAAAGGGAGAGTTCCACAAGCCTGAGTGTGTTGGCCTCACCGAGGAAGAAAGCATTATTGAAAAGATGCAGGAGGGGGACAGTCATCTGTGGTCACTGAGATGTGCTCACCTCCTTGGGTGAGTCAAGGATTCTAAGTCCAGTTTAATATAAATCCCTGAGTTCTGATGAGGCAGTTCATGTGTTGAGTAAATATCACAATGACTCACAGAAAAATGAACCACGGCTGCTCATTTCATTTTTTTCTGATGAAGGAGTAACAGATACCGGATCCGCCGGCTAATGGGTACATCATGGAGGATCTCGTATACCTTGAGCTGGGAATCTCTGGCTGGATGTTAATCCAGGTTCACAGAAATTGGAGTCGACATATGAGATCCTTCCAAGAGATCTTTCTTTTTGCAGGGGAACATCCTAATTAAAATGATATTATTTGGGGGCGCCTGGGTGGATCAGTGGGTTAAAGCCTCTGCCTTCGGCTGAGGTCATAATCCCAGGGTTCTGGGATCGAGCCCCACATCAGGCTCTCTGCTCAGCAGGGAGCCTGCTTCCTCCTCTCTCTCTGCCTGCCTCTCTGCCTACTTGCGATCTCTATCTGTCAAATAAATAAATAAAATCTTTTAAAAAAATGGTATATTTTGCACCTATATTCACCTTGTTGTGTAAGAAATGTAATGACTTAAGCTTCCTTGGGGCATAGAAAGATGCCCTACAGCAAGGCAGTTACCAAAACCAGGAGGCTCAGTCTTGGAGAGACTGGTAACTGAACTAACTGGAGAGGTCAAATGTTGGCATATTGACTTTCCTTTCCTTTCCTTTCTTTTAGCAGGAGAGAAAGAGAGGGACACAGAGAGAATGAATCTTAAACAGACTCCACACGCAGCACGCGGAGCCTGATGTGCAGCTCAGACCCTGAGATCATGACCTGAGCTGACATCAAGAGTCAGACATTTAACTGACTGAGCCCCCCAGGTGGCCCTGCACGCTGACTTTCAGGCAGTATTTTGTAGGGCACGGTCTTTGCATTTTCTCTCCAGGTTTAGGATTTTTTGATCCATCTCTTCAAACACCTGTTCCACATGGGCTCACTCCATTACGACGATGATACTCTTACAAACCAAGCAAATGCTTTCTCATCAGGCTTGTAAATGGTGCCTAATTGCCTGTGGTCTCTAAGACTTCTAAAGATAGAAATAGATTTTAAAAGTACCTTGATACATTTTAGAGATAATTCAAAAACATAAGACAAGGGAAATTTAGCAGGGATAAATAGAAGATACAATATTTACCCCCAATTTTACTATGAGATCTGAAATGCAGGAATGGCCACTGGAAAAGGCCTTGAGGGTCTCAGAGGACCCCAGATTAACATCTGAATTATTATGGAAAAAAATTTTTAAAAGCCATCTTACTACAGAAATACATGGAGAAAAATGCAACTTCTGAGCCTCTGTATCTTCTTCCTCTTATTTTCCCCCAACATGACTCAAACCCTTTTTCGGAGTATTCTGTACAGCTTTAAAAGTGAAATGGGGTGGGGAGCCTGGGTGGCTCAGTCGTTAAGTCTGCCTTCAGCTCAGGTCATGATCCCAGGGTCCTGGGATCGAGCCCCACGTTGGGCTCCGGGCCCAGAGGGAAGCTGCTTCTCCCTCTCCCACTCCCCCTGCTTGTGTTCCTTTCTCACTGTCACTCTCATTCTCTCTCTCTCTCTCTGTGTGTGTCAAATCAATAAATAAAATCCTAAAAAAAAAAAGTGAAATGGGGAAGAAATAGTGGGGGGGGACAGTAAGAGCAGATGCAGGGGATAATAACTAATTTGGTCTACTCGCTTTAGTAAGCAACCTTCAACAAAAGCAAAGAAGCCCAGAGAGTGATGACCACGTGTTGAGGACTGGGGGCGGGGGGAGGAGAGCTGAACATGTTAGGGCTGGAGATGTGGGGGATTTGATCCAGAGGGTAAAAAGGACCACCAGGAATACACATACACATACTTACATATGTATCAGAAAAGACAGTTTCAGGCCAAAAGAAGAAAGTCTGCAGATAAGTTGGGGCTCTCCTCCCAAGGGACGGCTGACTCCTAACGAAACCGTGAGCGCCCTGTCATGGGACATGCTGGAGAAGGAGAAGCGGTGATCTGTCAGGATGGTATGTAGACGACTCTGGGGGCACCTGGCTGGCTCAGTGGGTTAAGCCTCTGCCTTCAGCTCAGGTCATGATCTCAGGGTCCTGGGATCGAACCCCACCTCGGGCTCTCTGCTCAGCGGGGAGCCTGCTTCCCCTGTCTCTCTACCTGCTTCTCTGTCTACTTGTGATCTGTCAAATAAATAAATAAAATCTTTAAAAAAAAAAAAAAAAAAGACGACTCTGGCACTTGGTGCTACAATTTTAGGGTAATATAAACGTGAATAGTTACCGAGCTGGAAGACGGGACGAGACGGACGGGGAGTGGGTAAATGGCTTACAGTTCCAAGTCAGAGTGAAGATTTAACAGGAATGTTCTAGAGAGGATTTTAAATCTTGATGGGCAGGTGGATCAGACAGCCTGTGACATTCCTGCCACTGGATTCTGGCATAACATCAGGCTGGTCCACAAGGGTAGCTGTGATCAATGACCTCCAAGCCCTCTCTGCTCCAGGACTGGCCGGTTCTACACTAAAACTTCATCAGTTCTGCAACAGAAGCTGAAAAGTGGCCCCTCGTGGGGAGCTACTGAGTCGCACAGACTGGAGTCTGTCAAGGGTTTAACAAAGTGGAATAAGCAGGGGTCTAAACTCAAAGGCAGGTTTAATCCCTGGAAAGTCAAGTTTGACAAAAAGTAGTATCATGGGGTTTCCCATGGGCTTATCTTTCTCTTTCACTATTTAAAGTGCTTTTAAAACAGAACAAATGAGCAGAGGGGAAAAAGAGAGACAAACCAAGAAACAGACTCTTCACTATAGAGAACAATCGGAGGGTTCCTGGAGGGGAGCTGGGTGGGGGAATGGGGAAACAGGATGGGGATCAAGGAGTGCACTTGTGGTGAGTCACTGTATTGTATGCCTGAAACAAATTTGACACTGCCTGTTAACTAACTGGAACTTAAATAAAAGCGTAAAAAAAAAAAAAAAGGAAATTAAAACAGAGAACACGCAAAAAGTTTAAAAAAGAGTGCTTTTACAATCCTGTACTTTAGTTCCTGTCATGTGCCACTTTAAAAAATGGAATCATTTTTCTCCTCGATTTAAAAGATCGAACCTGTTTTCTCTGTTTAAAAAGACTACTTCGGTATTGCCTCTGGAATGACAGAACCCTACACGTTACTTATGTTTAAACTGCTTTACCCAGAATGAACTGATGCTAGTGTGCCCCATTTGAGAAAATCTGCAAAAGCCCAAGACCTAAAGAAAAACCCACGGGTAATTACTCACTTTCTAAAAGTGTCCTTCGTTTTGCACCACAGCTCCCAGAGACACAAAGCCTTAGAGCCCAAAGCCGAAACGTCAGAGAGGTTGATGATGACGATGATGGTACAAATTATCCCCATTTATTAAACGTGTCCTATATATAAGCCCTCTCAAATATGTTCACTCACTTAAGCCTCAAGACGCCCAGGGCAAGACCATGTTTGTCAGCCACCTGTGGACGGTGGGATGTGTCCAAAATTAATGACTGCAACTTCAGGGTGCGACCCTTAAGAAGTGGGGCCTTCCTTGCTTTTCATCCTTTTCCCTTTCTTCTGGTTGAACTGCACATCTCACGGGAACCACCCTGACCCACGCAGATGAGGGCAACACCTGAGGGGCAGGGGAGCAACAGGATAGAGAAAGCCTGGGTTCTCAGTACTGGGGAGCTGCCACGCCGTCATGGAGTGTAACGCTTGCAAGACTGAGTGAAAAGGAAGTAAATTTCTATTTTGTTTAAATTATTAATAATAGGAGGAGTGACCCCCCCACTCTGGACTCAGGCAAGAAGGGCATGTACACTGGGCCCTGCACTTCAGAAAGTTCCAGGTCTCCCAACACACACACACACACACACACACACACACACACACACACCCCAGTCACTCAGGACCAGGGACACAGTATAACCAGTACCTTGAACATCCGCTGGCATGACTAACATCATTCAAGCCCCAGGGACACATTTCTCTGTATCTCTTGCCTTAGTCCTCAAAACAAAAGGCCACTGTGTCCAAATGTTGTAAAGACTGGGGACTTGGCCACTGCCAGCAGCATCAGGAAGAGCTGTAGCTTCAGAGCACAGGGAGAATCTGAGCAGTGCCAGCACTGGGTATTAACTCATCAAATCCTTCTTCTCAGAGAGCATCCATGCAACAGATTTCTGCATAATGAAGAAGGGCTGCTTCCCAGCAGGGTGGGAGAGCTACTTTTTCTTTTCTTTTTCTTTCTTTCTTTGCCTTTCTTCATCTTCCCGATTCTTGGTTCTAGCAGCACGGCTGGATTAGTGTGGTATTTATGAGCCACATACAAAAGCTGAAGAGTAACGTGCCATATTAGACAATGTATAGAACTCTGAAATTTGCACACCTCTATGTAGGTCTGAAGTCAACATACGCGATATGTGACCCTGATTCTTTACATGGGCAACCAGACAGACTTTAAAAGCTATAATTACAAAGTTTTATTTTTATTCCTTTAAGATGTTATATTTTTGAAGGTGTTATTTTTATGTAATCTCTAGCCCCACCATGAGGCTCAAACCCACAACAACAAGAGTCGCAGGCTCTACCGACTAAGCCAGCCAGGCATCCTATTTTTAGGAACGTATTTTATAAGCTCTTGAACTAAGGTTCAGGAAATTAAATAACAATTCAGCCTTCTTTAAAATACTTTAAAATGTGGCACTCATTTATAATTTGTATTTTTGCTTTTTAATTTTAACAGATTTTTCAATATTTTAGTAAAAATGTTTTTAAAACTTTCATTTAAAATAATTTTAGGGGAGCCTGGGTGTCTCAGTCAGTTAAGCATCTACCTTTGGTTCAGGTCATGATCCCAGGGTCCTGGGATACAGGGCTGTATCTTCTGCTTCTCCCTCTCACACCTCCTCTTTGGGCTTGCTCTCTCTCTCTCTCTCTCTCAAATAAGTAAAAATCTTTTTAAAAAATAAAAATAAATAAAAATAAATAAGAGGAATACAACAAAACTAATTTTAATTTTTTAATTAAATTTACATTTTGAGGGGCGCCTGGGTGGCTCAGTGGGTTAAGCCACTGCCTTCGGCTCAGGTCATGATCTCAGGGTCCTGGAATCGAGTCCCACATCAGGCTCTCTGCTCAGCAGGGAGCCTGCTTCCCTCTCTCTCTCTCTCTGTCTACTTGTGATCTCTCTCTGTCAAATAAATAAATAAAATCTTTAAAAAAAATTTACATTTTGATGAAAATACATTCAAATTTAACACATATTTTATTTTTTAATCCTTTAGATTCTTTTTTTTTTTTTTACTATTTTATTTATTTGAGAGTGCATGAGTAGAGGGGTTGATGGCGAGGAAGGGGAGAGGGAGAAGCAGATTCCCTGCTCAGTGGGGAGCCCAACAAGGGGCTCAATCCCAGGACTTGGAAATCATGACCTGAACTGAAGGCAGAAGCTTAACTGACTGAGCCACCCAGGTGCCCCTAATCCTTTAGGTTCTTATTTGTCAACTGAAAACCAGGTATGATAAACAACATAATTCATGATTCCTTAAAATGAAGATAAGAAAATACATTTTATGAAACATATAATTTAGGCATTAAATGTCTACCTTATTACTCCAGTCAAACATTTTCCAGCAGCAGAATACCCAAGCATGCAAAATAATAGTCAAATTCCATTATCGTTAATATTCTGTCAACTTTCAATGATATAAAGACCATGGCTTAACACGCATTTTCCTATTATGAAAGTGTATTTGTCAAAGTAGCAGAACATAGTACATGTAACACTGAGTAGTAACTTTCATTCTTTAGACATATGGTCTGTCATCCATTTGCAGTCTTGCCTGAGGCCTGACAAATGTTAGAAAATGGGTCTTTCTTAGAGCAACTGAACTTAGGTTCTAACCAGTGTGGTGCCCTTGCTTACTTCTCAGGTAAGTCAGAGCCCACAACAGTGTGAAATAAGAGGTTAAGCAGCGATCATGAAAGGGATTCGTTGGCTATCTCTACACCCTGTGTATGGCAGAACAGACTCAGAATGTCTGTAGAGCCATGTGGCACTAAGGGACTCTTCTGACACAGTCAATGGTGGCAGACAGTGTGTGTTAGTTATCGGCTGCTGTGGAACAAATCACCACCAACTCAGGAGCTTGAAGGACAAACATTTATCATCTCGCAATTCTTATGGGTCAACAGTCCAGACACAGCTTAGCTGGATCCTGTGCTCAGAGTCTGGAGCTTAAAACCAAAGTGTCAGACGGGCTGCATTCTCACTGGCAGGCTTGACTGGGGAAGAAGCCAAGCTCATTCAGGCTGCTGGCAAAATTCATTTCCTTGCAGCTGAAGGACTTGGGGCCCAACTTCTTACTGGCTGTTGGCTGGAAGCCACTCAGGTCCTGGAGGCCACCCACAGTTTTTTGCCACATGGCTGTCTTACAATATGACTGTAAGCTTTTTCAAGGTCAACAGGTGACCCTTTCTCTCCAACCTGCTAAGGCAGAGACTTACATACTATAATTACAGGAGCGACATCCTATCACCTTTGCCATACTGTGTTGTTAGAAGCAGGTAATACATTCTGCCACGCTCAAGAGTATGGATTATAAAAGGATATTATAAAGGGGTTATACCCCTTAGGGCGTCACCTTGGGATATGTCTGCTGAAGTATTCTTATGCTCTGGCAGAATGATAAGACCTTGAAAAAAATTCCCATGCAGGGGCAACCTGGGTGGCTCAGTCAGTTAAGTCTCTCACTCTTGGTCTCAGGATCCTGAGACTGAGCCCCGTGTTGGGCTCCACACTCAGCGAGGAGTGTGCTTGAGATTCTCTCCCTGTCCCTCCCCCTCCTCACACGTGCTCACTCTCTCTCCTTCTCAAATACATACATAAATAAAATCTTTTAAAAAAAAAAAATTCCAGGGTGCCTGGGTGGCTCAGTTAAGCGTCTGCCTTCAGCTCGAGTCCTGCATCGGGCTCCCTGCTCCGTGGGAGAGAAGACAGGCTTGTCTCCTCTCCCACTCCCTCTGCTTGTGTTCCCTCTCTTGTTGTGTCTCTGTTAAATAAATAAAATCTTAAAAACAAAACAAAACAAAAAAACAAAAAACCCTGCCTACTTAAGAGAGGAAAGGTGATAGACACAATTTTCAGAAATTCATACAGGGTCCTATGTTTACCCAAGCTAGAAGATTCCACACCAAGAACTCTGCTAAAACTGTTCTTTGCCCTAGATCTTTCGAGTTGTCTAATCAAATCAAGATGGCAACCAGTCATTTTTCTGCTCTTTGCCTAGTTAGAAAGCTCTCGGTGTACTACTCATGCTCTTAGAGAAGACATTTCTGGTCATGAATTCAGCAAGTTTCCTGAATTTCCTGCTAGATCCATGACCGCAAGGTCCTATAAGATATACAAAGAAGATAACCCTAACCTTGTTTCCTTATAGTCTGCAGCTCTATTGGTAAGAAAAGACAAGAAGAATGTCCAAGAATGAAATTTCACTCTGATGTCCTCTCTTCCCTGAGCCCTCCAGTCAAAGCCTCCTCCTTCTCCTCTTCCTCCTCTCCCTCCTCCTTATCCTCTCAGAGTCCACATACAAACCGAACTTCTTGTTACAGAGTTCTACACCCTGATTATCCCCCTAAAATCTCTCTCCCATTACACTGGGAGATCTTTGAGGGCAGAGGGATTTACTCATATCTGCATGTCCAGCACCTGGAACCATCTCTGACACAGAGCCATCCCTCCACATGGGTTTGGGTGGATGGATGGACTGATGATAACAGATGAGTTGCGTGATGGTAAACAGTACAGGACCACTGATGTGAAACCCTTAGGCCACACTGCTTCTCTGAAGTTACTTCTAATTTTCCCATTAGTAAAAAACAGAATTGCACAATATTCAGCAGAAGAACCAGACATAATCGAATATCTTTTCTGTGATTCCATTTAATAGGGAGTTCAAGACCAGACAAAAGTAATTCTTGGGCAGAATGGGAGGGGTAGAGAACTGCCTGAGAGGGAGGTGAAGAAACCTATTGCTGGAATCAGCCCACAGCCTTGTCTGGTCACATAGTGTATCCATATCTAAAATCCCCATCAAGCTATGTGCACGTAAGATCTGTGAGCTTTACTCTACATAGCATGCTTCAATCTTTAACAATCTAAACTACAAAGAGGATGGGGGGCTATACCTGGGGGCTCTGTGTACAGAGCACAGTGCCCCTACTTTACTAGGAGTCCCTCAGGGGAAAGTGGTGTCAGTGGTTTGATCACCTCCAAGGGACCCAGCATGAGTCCTCCTCAGATGTTTAACCCTGGGTTCCCAGGACTGGCTGACGTGGCCAGGTGCTGCTGGAGGAATGCTACCATTTCCTCTGGGTCACTTTATCCTTCTCTGGAGACCTGGCAGATCAGGTACTGCTTCATTAAATGATTCTCTAAAGCCTTCTTTGAGGACAAGGAACCCTGTCCCAGCTGTCAGAGAGATGGGCGCCTATCCCTGGGGCAACATCTGCAACGGGACACTCTGGTCCACACCTGCCTAAGTAGCTCTGTGACACCTTCTGGCATAAAGTCCGCTCGCTCATTTGGTGGAGGTGTGCGCGGCCACGTCCATGGCTGCTCCCAAGGGGACTTCTCTGGTGTGGGTTTTCTGCAGCCACAACAGGTAACTCTGCTGCGTGTTCTCTTGCTGTCTCCATACTCATTTAAAAAAAAATAGGCAGCTGCACACTACTGGGCTCACAATGGGAAGATGACGCTGAGAAACACAACTTTAGATGCCAGGTGACAAAGATGGCAGAATAAATGGCTTCTCCCAAGCATAGATGTTTGGAGAAATTGTGTCTCCAGATTAGTACATGGGAGGCTGGTGAGAAACCACTCCCACCTGAAGCCTGCTTCCAGCAATGTGGACCTGTCTCCCTTCTCTGAACTCAAACAGCGCCGGAGCCCATCCAAAAAGCCGCTGTCTGCTCACCAAATTTATCTCACCCCTACAACAAGACTGTGAGTTCTTTCAAAGCCAAATCCATGCTTTGTGCATCTCCTGCTTCCCCAGAATCCCTGGCCCAGGGCTAGGTACAGTCTGTGGTCACTGAATACTTGGTGACTTGGGTACATGTCAAAAATCCAATAATTAAACAATTCAAACATATAACGAATGCCCTCCAAGCACTGTCCTTGGCCTAGACAAGGAAAAGACATATTAGGCTTCAAGATGTTCATGGCTAAGGGGGAAAGGGAGAGGGGGATGAACTTGACTATACCTTTTTGCTGTGACGGAAGCCCAGGAAAGAGGTAAGTGTAGTGCCATTCAGCCCCCTGTACACCACACATTCCAGCCCATCACTTTACAAATCAAGTGTACCTGTGAGGAAGCACCTGTCTCCCAGCTCTGAACCACCTCTCTGTATTCTGCTCAGCGATGCTGGGCTGGAAATCAACAAAATGCAAGTCACACTGTCTTTGACACCGGTGCCTTGTCAGTTTCCACCAACAGGGGGCTCTAGAGGGAGACTGCAAGCAGGAGAGGGCTGCTCCTGGCTGTGTCCCCCCAACAATGGCCCCTCACAGCACCTGCACCTGGGCAGGGCCCACTTCTCCAAAGTCAGAGGCTCAGTCTGAAGAGGCCCTCCTCCAAGGCCCCATGATATCCACACCAGTGACAGTCCTGCCTCTGCAGTCACCTCTCCTGCTTCGCACCAAGTTCCCTTCACCTTTGCAGGTCTCCCACACTTCACCAACTCCCTCCATTAAACTCTATTAAAGTAACTGGTATGGCTCTGCTTTTCTAACTGTGATCCTGCTTGGTACAGGAGGGAGGCGACCTGCCCAGTATCTGTCAGTTACTCAGTGGCACAACTTCCCAGGAACCAGGCTTTGTGACTCCAAATCCTAATTTTCCACCCACTGCATCCACCATATCTATAGACCAGTACGATCAAAGACAGTACAGCATAATGACCAACTGGGTTTTAATGACAAACTACTCAGATTCAAAACCTGCCTCCACCAAATACTAGCTATGGGACCTACAGCAGGTTACTTCTCTGGGCCTCCAGTTTCCCCACCAGCAAAATACAAGTGGCCACAGAAGCCATCACAGGGATATTGTGACGCATTAGTACACATCAAGCACTGAGGAACAGGACTGGCGTGTAGAACGGTACTGGCATCACCATCATTGTCAAGCAGCAGCATGGCAGAAAGAGTGTAGTCCCCAGTCACAACGATCTGTGTGTAAATCTTGGTTCTGTCTCCTACTCACTGCGCGTCCTCAGCAAGTCCCTTCACGTATCAGAGACTGCCGCCCCATCCCTATCATAAGGCAGATCTCACAGTCCAGAAGAATCACGACAGAACACATGACATGCTCAATGTTCACCAAGTGGGTATTTAATAAAAGGTTATCTCCACTGTTACTAATTTTATCAAGTCTGATGGACCAAAAGTCTCCTTCTAGATCACTGGGACATGCATGCAGTGAGTTCAGAACAGAGATGACCTGACTTGTCATTATGGAAAAGGAAGTGGAATCTGTGCTTTCAAGCCATCTCAACTCTCAACACACTCCTGGGCGATATACAAGAATGTCCAACCAGATGATGCCATCAGCGGCTCTTAGTTTTCACTCCGCAGGACTCACTGACTTGCTATCACATGACCACGTGAAGTTTTAACTGGGTAATTTACATCTTATCTACTTCCAAGAAGGATTTTCAGTTACCTCTCATAGAATGTTATTTGACCGAAAACTTAGGGTCAGAGACAGAGATCTGAGCCCAGAGGCGAAGGGGGAGGAAGATAGGGGTAAAGATATTCTACTCTGAACCTACCTCAAGATGGTTATTATCTCCAAGTATCAAAGAAATCCTTTTTCCCAACAGCCAAGGTAAAAAGGAAAACATAACTGTTGTGTAATTCTCATTTTGACTAGGGTAGATATCGTGTTAAAGGCAGAAAAATTTCCATGACACTACACAAAGAAATTTAATTGAGATTTTACATAGGGAACACTGCGTAACACAATGAGTCGACCATTCAGTGGAAGCTCTCCAGAAGTTAGAAGAACTCATTTTGGGACTTCCTATTCCTTGTTCAAACAGAGTTAGGTCATTGCAACACAAGACTGGTAAATTATCTGTAAAAGCTACCAAAGATGACAGTTCTAGCTTGCTCCATGCTTTGCCAGGCCTGGAAGGGGAGTCATACAATTTCTCAAAGCAGTTCCAGAATACAGATTATTTTTTTCCCTTTGCAGAAAGGCAGGAACCTGGCTGAGAAGGGAGAGACAACAATGTGTCTTTGAGGTGACCGATGGAGATGTGCAAACACATGACTGAGGGTGACTCCTGTTATGTGCCCTTCTCCAGCGTGGTCGCCTGCCCCTGTGCGTCTGGGCTGCCAACCCGATTCATCCCTCTGGCTATTTTCATCTACCCGCTCCGCTGCTCGGGCCAGGGCTTTTCTCCCTGCCACCAGGGCCACTGTGGGTCACGTCTAAATAGCACACGCCACCAAGAGCAGTGATCAGAGGCGAAGGGATAAAAGAAAAAAATCATCCCAAGGGCTGAACCTGAGGCAGAATACACAGCAGTTAAGAATCTGGGATTTGGGGCGCCTGGATGGCTCAGTGGGTTCAGCCTCACCTTGGGTCATGATCTCAGGGTCCTGGGATCGAGCCCCGCATCAGTCTCTCTGCTCAGCGGAGAGCCTGCTTCCCCCCTTCCCTCTCTGCTTGCCTTTGCCTACTTGTGATCTCTATCAAATAAATAAATAAAATCTTAAAAAAAAAAATCTGGGATTTGGAGTTAGAGGACCCAGGCTCAAGTCTTCATCCCAACACTGAACCATCTGGGAGACCATGAGCACATTAGTTCACCTCCTCCGGAGCCTTTCCCTCCTATTTCTGGAACAATGGCTAGTACATTACACAGGCGGCATCTCGTTGGAAGGAGTTCTTGGAACTGTTGGTAAAGGCCTCCAGGTAGTGCTTGGCTACATGCTACACATTAGCCATGATGACGGGGACAGAGAGAAGGCCCCCAGTGAGCTTCCCTAGGCAAAGGTGATACGGTATCACCCGGCAGAGACAGCTTATGCTACGGGAAGCAACATCAGCATCTCACCAGCTTCGCGCTGCCAAGCGTCTCTCTCTTTCACTCTCGGGGTCCCAGGCTGGCAGAGCTCCACAGTCATGCACACCACAGCTGCAGCCTCTGTCCAGAAGTAGCACTTCTGCTCGCTATGCATTAGTCAGGTGGTGAGCAAACTCCCGCCCACAGGCCAGCTGCTTGTTTTTCTAAATAAAGTTTTATTGAAACATGGCTGCTTCACAGACAGGCGGCGGCCGCTTCCACACCAGGACAGCAGAGCTCAACAGCTGCATCAGAGACCGGGGGGCCTATAAGCTGAAACTATTTCCTATCTGGTCCGACTGACCCCTGCAATGGTGTAAGGGAGGCACAGCCATACCTAACTCTGAGGCAGACAGGAAATGAATGCAAACGCTACTGTGCTCCCAGCACGCAGAGAACTAGGGCTCTGCGGTGCGCCAACACTGAAGACGACACGGTGGCTGGCACCAGCCCACCAACAGGGCAGCCGCTCTGAAAGCTCCTTCTCCAGGGGGAGGAATGGATCTCAACGGAACGGGACACCGCTGGGCTAATAACCTCACGCGAGCACTGTTTCACGGCGTGACATCCCTGCTTGGGAACCTCGAGTGGATCCCTAGCGTAGAAAAGATAAGATTTCAACCCCTCTGCTTGACACTCAAGACCCTCACAAAGCTGGTGCCTTTCCTCCATCCGAGAAAACATTCCACACTGTTCTCTGCCAGGATTCTTTGCTTGTCTCTGTCTAATCTCCCTCAAAAACGAAGAAAATGCCCACGGTTACAAGGTCCGTGGCAGGTGGTACCTCTCCCCGTATCTGTCTGCCTCCAGGACACAAACTCGACCCTCAGCAGCACTCTTGGTGTTACCATGACACCTGCTACTTCCCCCTCTTTCTTTTTTTTTTTTTTTTGGATCCTATGAGAAACATGAGCCCTCGTTTCCTGGTGCAGCCCAGAATTCCCTGTGTTCCAAGATGCCTTCAGAACACTGGGAGTCAGCACGGTCTGCCTGTACCTCTCTTCCCCTTTGAGATCATAGCCCGCATCCATCCTCTCATCTTTCCCTGGGGCCACTGCTTACCTAACAGACAAGAAGATCTGGAAGAACTGGGAGCAGGCTAAGGCAGTGCACAGAAGCTGCCACGCTCCCTGAGGAAGCCCAGGTCCAGCCACATCAGCTGGAAACAGAGGGCCAGGCTCTCCCAGGAGGGCACGAATCCTCTTTGGATGGCCTGGCCTCTAGAAGGAAGTCTGAGCTGCCCGTCCGCCACTTCCCCTCCTCCTCCCAGGAGGAATGGCAGCTCAGCTGCCCCTGAGACCCATTCCAAACAAAAACAAGCCTGAACTGAATTTCTAAGAAGATCAGCAATCCAAATGCCAAGTCAGAAGTGACCCCGAAAAAAAACCCAGAGTGAGCACATGATGGCCACAGCAGTAGGGTTGTAGAGCGTGTCCCCTGCACGGTGGAAAGGGACGTTCCTGCTGTTGCTGTGTTTTGTTCTGGCACCTAGAGCGGGGGCCGACTCCAGGAGAAGTGTTGTGACCTGGAAGTGTTTCATCAAGACTCTGTCCAGATGGATCCCTGCCTTTCTTTGTCCCTGCCTTTTCTCCCTCAGAGCAGTACCTGCCTGCTCCCAGGAGCCCTCTCCTGGCTCTTTCTTCCGCATGACGTTAGGCTGGTCCGCGGGAGAAGGAGATGGTCACTGGTGCCCAGCCGAGGTGCTCAAGCGTGGCCGCTGGGGGCAAGACAGATCTGGGTTTCAACTTTAACTCCTTCTCGAGTTAGCTGCGTGACTAGGACACTGAACCTCTCTGAGCCTTGATCTTCTTACTGTGTGAAGCGCCTACTCTGTTGGGTAGACAGCCTCTGAGCTGAAGTGTATGCTCAGGGCCTGGTACAGAGTCTGACGAGTGGGGCGGTAATACCGAGTGTCCTTACCATCCTCTCTTCCAATGCGCAAAGACGTTCAGTAACTGAGGCTCTGCTTCGTTTTTGTCCCAGACCTTCAAATCCCTAACCTGTTTACCGACTCGTGTGTGTCTTTGGAAGACACAAGTCAAGAGTCCACACTGGGTCATGTCTGAGTCCCTGGTGGGGCAAAGCCCCTGCTCAGGCCATCCGCCCTCGGGACTGGCCGTGGCTGAAAAGCCAAGGCCAGCTTCCGCACTGTGGCCTGGTGACAATCTTTGCAGCCCAATGCAAGCCCTTCCACTGGCTTTTTCCCAGTACATCTAAAATGCACCTGTTTCCAACTTAGCAAAATGTGACAGTGGGTAAGGCCTTCTAGGGCAAGACAAAAAGCAGATGGTACAAACAGGGTTAGAAATGAACCACCCTGGGGCGCCTGGGTGGCTCGGTGGATTAAAGCCTCTGCCTTTGGCTCAGGTCAGGGTCCCAGAGTCCTGGGATCGAGCCCTGCATGGGGCTCTCTGCTCAGCGGGGATCCCTCTTCCCCCTCCCTCTCTGCCTGCCTCTGCCTACTTGTGATCTGTCAAATAAATAAATAAGATCTTTTAAAAAAAAGGAAAAAGAA